TTCAGGTAGATTGGCGGGGCCCGTTTGCCACTAATACAGGGTGACTCAGAGTAAATTTCACTATTTAAACGCGCCTTGTACATCCAACTTAATATTTGTGGGGGGGGTTAGCGCTGGCAATGTGTGGCGACTGCGTGCGGATTATCAGTCAACATGGAGCAGTGGTCAAATGAGCAACGAGCGCTTATGGTCGAAGCGTTCTTTAAATCGAACGATTCGTATGTTGCGGCACGGCGACGTTTTTGTAACCGTTACAATATTCGGCGTTTACGTGATGCTCCGTCAAACAATTTATTGAAATCGTGGGTTAAAAGATTCAGACAAAGTGGTACAGTGGCAAATCAGAAGCTTCCCGGTCAACAGAGGTCCATCAGAACGCCAGAGAATATTGAGATTGTGCGATGTGCTGCGACTGAACATCCGAGGCGCTCAATTTGAAAACATGGCCAGGCTCTGAATATTCATCGCTCAAGTGTGCAACGGATTTTAAGCAAAGACTTACGGTTCCATCCCTACCAAATACAATTGGTGCAGTTTCTAAAGCCCACAGACTACGAATTACGAAAAAATTATTGTGAGGCAATGATGAATATGTTTTGGAACGAAGGAGAATTTGGACAACATTTTATTCAGTGATGAGGCTCACTTCCATCTGGAGGGGTATGTTAACAAACAAAACTGTCGCTTTTGGAGCCCCGACAACCCCAAAGAAAAGCATGAAAAACAATTGCATTCCAAGAAGGTAACAGTTTGGTGTGCCATGTTAGCTACTGGAATAATTGGGCCCTACTTTTTTGAAGTTGCCCATGGTCGCTCTGTAACGGTAACAAGTCAAAGGTACACTGCAATGCTCCACCAATTTTTGACTCCATCTCTTCAAAACTTTCCTGGCTATAACCCCAATTTGACCTGGTTTCAACAAGATGGGGCGACGGCACACACAGCAGCAGTATCAATGGACGCTGTACGTGAATTGTTTCCAGGAACTGTTATTTCAAAATTTGGGGACATCTCTTTTCCTCCAAGATCGCCCGATCTTACGCCCCTAGATTTTTTTTGTGGGGATATTTGAAGAGTATCATCGTCTACACTGATCCACCAGCCACTACGGAGCAGTTAAGACGCAACATTCGAGAGGCTATTGCCGACATTCCTATTGAAATATGTCAGCGGGTCTTTCAACATTTAAGAGCATCATTGGAGGAGTGTTATCTAAGGGATGGTCGACATTTGGACAACATTGTGTTTACAAAATAAAATCCGCATTTCTGTACTTTCAAAATTTATTATTAAAATTATGCCAACACTTTTTATTCCGTTTTTATAACATGTTAAAAAGGGAAATTTACTCTGAGTCACCCTGTACTTCTTATATTAATCACTTTGTAACTCAGCAGGGAGGCACATTTTATCTAAATGGTTTGGGTAATCCCAAAAGTACTCCAACTGGAATTGTAATAATAAAGAAAAGGATTAAATAATCTTTTCCTTATTATCAATTTAATGAAAAATTAAATTGATTAAAATTATAATTATAAAAGCGCCAAGATTTCGGCACATGTTTCGAATGTTGGTTGGTTCCTTTTATTTTAAATCTAATTTTTGCGATCTAGCGCCGTAAAGACTTTCCATTCAAGCGATTAAGTCATGATGTCGTCGAGAGTTTGCTTTACAGCGCCGTAACAGCTTTCTTAAGCTAAAGCGCAATTCCAATATTGAAATCTTTGCGCGGGACTCTTTTGTAATTTGGGGTTAGTTCTCTTTCTTGAAAAATTGTTCACTATGAAGTCTCCCATTAGTTTATTAAGAGTTTATTTGTTTTCTGTTTCATGTTCCAGGTATTTCAGTACAGTTATTCACATTCGCCTCAATTATTAATAACAACGTTCCCATCTTTGGCGTTTACGACTTTGTGTCAAGTGTAGGAGCCATAAAAACTGTTCATAATCTTCGTTCCAGAAATATAAACAAAAATGAGTTTCTCCGTAGTTGAAGGTGTTCAAAAAACATCGATGAGCTCAATCAAAATTACGTAGTATGTACATAGCTATAATTTAAAAATCAGGCATTGGATTTCAAGAAAAATGATCGCACACACCCATAACAATTTTTGTGACGCATTTTTTGGCAGTAAAGGGGTGGGTCAATATTTTTAAATCCATTTTGGAATTTTGTGTTAAAACTCGCGCCTAAGCCATGTAAATTGCATATAACTGGTTCTTACTTTTTATAAGCAAAAAAAATAAAAAACAAATTTAAAGAATACTTAAATTTTACTAATTACAGTTCTGTGAGTAAAGAAAGTGAATATAGCACATCTAAATGAAACCCAGATAATTGAAATTTCAATTATTATTGGATATGGCGACAAAACGAGAAGTCAAGACGAAGTTTGTAATTTGTTTAACACAAAATATCCAAAAACACTCATTACACGATCAAAAGTGAGTAAAAGTGAGAGAAAATTTATAGAAACAACACGGGTCTACAGCCACGTCGTCTAAGAACTAATTAGAACACAAGATTAAACATTTAATTATAAGTTGCGGATAATTCCCATTGAGCATCTTCAGAAACAGCTTCAAATGATGATGTTAGAGAACGAATAGCTTTGCGACTATTAAAAGAAGAAAAGTATTATCCGTAGAGTAAGTTCTCTAAATATGGACTAGGCGGATAATATTCACCATTCTGATTTTTTTCAATGGCAACAGCGCACTTATCGAAATCTTGTCTCATTTAATGCTACACTGTACATGCATAATGTCAGCAGTTTTTAAGCAGGCTGTGGGGAAAGTATATTCGGTGGCGACCATTTTCCAGCGTCTGATGATGATGCAACAAAAGATATGATTTTATCTTCGTTCTATTGCATATTATTTAAAAATATTTAAGCAAATTATTGCCTTACTTTTTTTTTTATTTTAGAATATGGTTTGATCGCAAAAGCAAAAAATTTCCTTCAGGAAACCTCGGGATAGGGAAGCAATAGAAAATGTTGTACTTGCCGTTAAAGAGAATATAATGGAGTACTTAAAAGCAGCCAGATCTTTTAGCGTTCAAACCAACACTCATTCGTTTATCTAAAAACAGAAATTCACCGACTTACAAATATAAAGCTTGGACGGAGAGCCGTTTTACCAGAAAATTTAGAAGCAGAGTTGATCAATTAAATCCTCACTATGGAGCAAACTTTGCTTTGAGCAGACGCGACATTAAGTTAATTACTTATGACGTGGCAAGAATTTAAGTAAGCCATTCTCAAGACGAAGTAATTCTGGACGCAAAACATGGTTGAAGCTGTTTCTGGTTCGTCATCGTAACTATCCTTTCGCCGTCCAGCAGGAACCTCGATTGCACGATTAAAAGCTTTTAAGAAGGAAGGCGTGACGATTTTTTAAAATTTATTAGAGAAATAAATGAACGATTTTAAATATCCTGCCTCGAAAATTGATGAATGAAACCGGGATATGGGTTTTACCCAATAAGATGCAACAAGTTTTATCTCTAAAGGGGAAAAAGCAAATAGCTGTAACCACTACAGAGCAACGAGGTCCAACAATAAAGTGCATAATTTGTATGAATGCAGCTGGATTGTTTGTTACTCCCCAATGATGATACTTCTTCAAAAGCGAGATTATTCACAGTTAAGGAATGGTGCGTGCTCCAACTGGATCGATACACGCTTGTCATCCGCCAGACTGGACACAGAGAGAGCTTTTCACTAAACGGTTTAAATGGAGCTCCAATGGAAATTTTCAATCTTTCCACTACTTGTCGGGAGCTTCTCGATATTAGATAGGCACACAAGTCATACCCGTAATATCGAAGTAGTTGATTTGGCACAAAAAAATAATGTTTTTTTTTTGGAGATAGTCACCTAAGGAGAGTAAACTGTCAAAGATAGTTCAGATGAAGATCCTGATCCTACAACCCAAGAAAATGCAACATGTTTATATTGTGGTGGCTTATTTTCGGAGGATGCTGGTGGTGAATTATTGGCTCAGTGCATTTCCTTCTCTCGATGACGACATGAAGATTACTCCGGGGTAGAAAAAAACATTTCCATATGCTAGGTTTGTAGTAGCAGTTGATGTTGTAGGACCAAGCTAAATTTTGATTTATTTTGTTATTGTTATAACACTAGTTTTCTTCCAAGAAGCAGAATATTGTACCATGTAAGAATCGTTTTGATCTATATTAAATAACAGTGATATTAGATATCGGAATGATATGCCAGATAGACAGGTTTGGTTTCAACAGGATGGTGCTCCGCTCCATTTTGTTCGACAATTGCGTGAATTTTAAAATAAGATATTTCAAAAGTCAAAAGGGATAGATAAAATATTCTGCAAAATCTTCAGATATAACTTCACTGGATTTTTATGATTTAGGTGATTTAAAACTTAAAATTAGAATATTGCCAACAAAATAATTTCTTAGACGTGACAATAAAAATTTCAATTTTAAATTGAAAAAAAAAAGATGTTTCATTTAGAAAATACAACCTTTTGACACATGTGCGTGTGCGAGCCTTTTTTTTTGAAATCCAATATCTGATTTTTAAATGAATTTGTTTGATATTTTAGCAGTTTACTGTATTATAACATTGGGGCCGTTAACACTGTCGAATGATCGTTCGCACAAGCCGCTGAATTTTACAGAGTAACCTTCACTTTGATCAAATTTTCTCTCTAAAAAACGGTGTTTATACACACACTACTTTTTTTCCGAAAATTTAACGGAATATTTTCATACTTTAACTAAACACCACACATCCAAACGGAAAACTATGCCATTAATGAACTGTCAGTGACCATGTTGATTTGGAACGTCGAAAAGTCTTATTGGTTCGTAGGAAGTTGTTTTTTATTTAAACCATTTCCAGATCAAGGGGTTAATAGTTCGATTCGTTAGTAAAACGCGGAAAAATGAAACGTTAGACGTTAGCAAAACAAATCACACGGATAGTTACTGTTGCTTTGGCACACGACTCTAACCTTGGACGTTTTGCAACAAAACCTGTCCTAAATTGAGCGCGTTCGTTTTGTTGTTGGTGGGGACAGCGACCACCGAACTAGACGGCGATCCGGAAGACGTAGGCGGTGCGGCTCTGGAAGACTGCGGCGGAGGGGTACCGGGGCCTAACAATTGGCAACGTGAAGAACTTTAAAAGCCAGAACAATGACAACGAGGCATGTGGACAGAACTAGCAAAGCGCTTTAGCGTATTGTTTACGAAAAACAAAACCGGAAGAAACTATGTTTTAATTCATATATATATATATATATATATATATATATATATATATATATATATATATATATATATATATATATATATATATAGGAATTAAAACAGTTTCTGTTAGGGCACTTTAGCGCAGTAAATACGGGTTTTGGTGCCGTCTCATATCTCAGCGGTTGCTATGGCGAAAATCCACGAATTACGGTTTGAACTGCCTGACCATCCGCCTTACTCGCCAGATTCAGCGCCAAGTGATTTGTTTTTGTTCCCTCATCTGAAAACTGTGCTCGGACGACAAGGGTACTATTTGGACGGGTTAGAGATGGGACCGTCGCTTGGAGAAGTGTATAGATTTACAAGGAGACTATGTATAAAAATCTAAAAAATGAGAAAAAATGTCTTGTATCATTGTTATATCGATATTGACCCTCGTATGTGTCTCTTTACTTTAAATCGAAACATTCGGTTAAGAAAATGCGTTCCTCAAAGGAAGAAAAGATTCAGGTAATTCGTCTTTTTCGTAGAAAACAGGGAACCGTTGTCGGAAATGAAAGTGAAGATATGAAGATTTTGTTCTTTTATGAATAGTAATTAAAAATAGAATTAATTTCATATAACTTTTAAGAAAATCCAGAAAGTTTCATCGCAATTGTTGCTGCACAATTGGGCATAACATAATTCGAGATTCAGTCCACTTTAAAATATTTAAATATCAACCCTAAAAATTTATTCTAGTCCAATGCTTATCTGAACGAAAAAAATTTCAACGATTACAATATTGTCAAGCAATGTCGAGGCATATAACAGAGGATCCCGATTTTTCTGGGAAAAAAATATTTTTACTGATGAAGCCTTCACGACAGCGGCTATGGTTAATCTGAAAAATATGCATTTTTGGGCAAACGAAAACCCATATAAGATTCAACTAGTGTGGTGGATCGGTTCCTGTGTGGTGTGGCGTGCTGGCCAACCAAATAATCGGATAGATTTTTCTGGGTGGATATCTGACGGGCAATCGATATTTAGATTTAATTGAAACTAACATTGAAATTCATGTTTGAAAGGCTTTCCAGTTCGCCAATACATTAACCTGGTTTGGCAACAAGATGAGGCAATACCTAAATGATCCTGATAGGCAAACGTGGCACAATTCAGTGGCCGGCTAATAGCCCGGATTTAAACCCGCTCGATATTTTCCTGTGAGAGTTTTCAAAAACCAAGTATACAATGACTGACCTCAAAATATACGATATGCTATTCATCATAAAATGAGAGGTAATATTACAGAAAGTTTGGGAAATAATGGTGGATATATAGAAAACACCTAACCATTTACTTCACGTTCTATTTTCATTATTGTTCGTTTAATTATCGTTGTCATAGGTTTTATTCTCGTTGTTGTTGATATTATGTTCTTTAGAATTTTTAGTATTATTGATTAATTAATACTTATTGAAATAAAGCGGACGAACTACTTGAATCTTTTGTTACTCTGGAAAACCTATTTTCCTAACTGAGGGTTTCAACTTGCGGAACGCCTGGTCAATCTGTTTAACATTTGTTTGGTTAATCAAACATTTAAACTTAACTTTGCAATGCGCAATTTGTTTACTTTTACAAGTCTAATAGAAAAATGATACAACTTTGTATTAAAAGTTTTTCTCGGTAATTTCAGTTAACCCCTGTGGATTGGCACGCAAATATAAAAAACAACGCTGTATCTAGCGCAGTCTGTAACATAATGGACTAAACAATAGTGTACCGGAGTAATCCGATTTTTATTATGGGATGACACTTATATATAAAAAAAAATTGTTCGGATTCTCATACTTTTTAAATATTATATTGTTATATACAGGGCGTTTCGAAGAGGACTAATCAAATATGGATAGTGTATGCTCATCTAGGTATTTGTGGCTAACTATGGTTTAATTTGAGCAAGGATACATTACAGTCCAAAAGTATACAAAATAGTACATTATGCAATAAGTGCGGTGTGGCATTGGAGTCATGAGTCTATTTGGCATGAGCGGAGAGAGTTTTGAATAGATGAATGGGATAAAGAGTTTACTAAACGTGTTGCAAAGTATGCTTTTTCTACGACCGTCACGAAAAAATCACAATTTAACAAATTAAAAATAGTAACGATTATCGGATTACTAAATTTCGTACTATTCAAACAAAATATTTGCTAGTTGCCATTAAACCGATCTGTTCTGCTATTGTTGTCTCTTTTTAACTGTGTACGTTAGACAGAGAGAGATGTATTATTGGATATGTCATATAAACAACAGAATAAACACAATTTTAAAACGTTATGTTGTTTATTTAACTTTTACAATTGATATTAAGTAGTTTTTTTAGAGAAAAAGACTAATTTTTGCTTTGTTTGTACTGATGAGACATATTTGAGACAGACAGATTTGAGATATATGAAAATGGTTACCGGTCGTTTGAATGCGGCCTGCTTAAATACACGAATTTCTGCTAGGTGCTTATTCGACAAAGCATCGCCCAGTTAAATGGAGTACAAACATACTAAATTAGCTAGTCAATTTAAAAAATATCGACGTAACAAAAACAGCTATGAAAATAAAGTAGCGGTTCATACACTTAAATATATGACAGTTAGGGTAAAATTGTTAATTCCAAATACTTCTTATTTTAATTTTGACATATACAGTATGTAAATTCCAAAATTGGCAATAGGCAAATAGCAAGTATTTAACTCTTTTTTCCTATTGAACGTCAATGCAGATTCGACGATTCAGAAAATGCCGGTTCATGTTGTGCACTCCAATAGAATATTATTAAACTAATCATTAATAAATTTGGTGCAGAATCTGTGCTCACATTTTATCAATTCTTACTAATCACACTTAACACAACCATAAATAGCCGCGGGTAAAATTTGGGTAAATTATTTGAGGAATATAAAACCGTACCGAAGAGGGTATGACAAAATGATGAGCCACAGACTAATGTGGCAATACAAAAATATAATCGATTCGTCAAGCTTTCACGGAATGGCCGTCAAGGGGTATGATATTGGAAGCAAAGAGGGATTTATAAAAGGTTTGCTAATTTTTCAGTATTGCTATATGGGAAATTGCCACGAGGACATGAATTCGGATGTTTTTGAAGATCGTAGATTCAGTAGTAGTTTTGAATAACGATGCATGGTAAGGACTTCGACTTCGTTTGAGAAAACAAGAAATTATCGACTGGTTAAAATATTGAAGTTAATTGAAGTTCGAGATTAATTGATAAAGAGGGAACTGCTACATATGGCTAATTTACAAAAGTAGTCCACCACATGTCGTAGAATGGAACGAGTCCATGTTAACTGTTGGACATGGGGCTGAATTTTTTTTTGGGAAACCTGAATGTGGCAGTTTCAAAAAAAAAAGGGATAAAAAATCAAGCCATTTTATATCCCAATCTGCGGCAGGCTTATTGTTGTTTTAATCTTTGCTAATGATTTTTTTTTGTGACTACATCGCATCAATCACCAATTATATATTTTTAACTCAAAAAGGTTCGAATTTTCGTATATAGATCTAATCATTAAGAAAAATAAACACTTCTATTAAATATTTTTTATAGTTTTGGACTTAAAACAATATTTTATTTTATTTTTAATATCGAAGAGTTATATTGAGTTAATTTTTGTCTTGTTAAATATAAATAGCTTTTTAATATTTTGGATGAGTTTCTAGATAGCTGATAATCCTTAATGTTTCCCATTTGTATGCTTTTTCTTACCTGATAATGGAATACTATTTCTGTAAATCCTTAAACGTGTAACATTTTCGTGAACACTATTTTATTTTACATTAGCCCGAGATGCATTATTACTAGCCTGTCAAATCTTGTGTAGTTTCAAAAGGTGATATAGGAAATATTGTACAATGTCCAGCAAAATGTCTGTATAGTCACTGCGTGACGCTTTTTCAGATGACACACCATTTTCAGTGTCGGTGAATGGATAATAATAGGCAAAACCCACAAACTGATCCAAACCCGGGCAGCACTCGATGAAAAGCAAGGATTTTGCAATGGAATCAATGCCAAACAATAAAAGTCGCTTTGGGTCACTCTATAATTCTTTGCAAACCTTATGAGGTGTTATTTCCTTCCACCTATCTAAAATACGCTATAATACTACCGGCAATGACCTTCTGCCAGTCTCTATATACACGGTTGACGGCGAACGGTACATTGCATTGTTCTGAAAATTTGGGTAGTTCCACAGAGCGTCGTTGTTCTATAGATCTAAAATATCTTCAATGTTGCGACGTTGCCGCCTCTTCGAAAAAGTAGCATCAACATTGAAAGTTTATTTATTTATTTATTAGCAATTTAGGTTGCATACAGTACAAAGTACCAAAAAAAGCAACTCCGTTGTATTGTAGAAAGAGAGGTTTACAAATAAATCTAGATTTTAGCACTCATCAGCACAAAGTAAGTATAGCATGATGTAAAGTGATACAATAATATTACAAGTTTACATTTTAATTAGGGTGTTCTATGTCGTTTTAAGTCCTAGAAAGTATTTTTTGACCCCGCATTCAAAACCTTTAATAGGAGTAACAAACATATCGACATCAAGAAAACAGTTATGAAAATTAAATATATAAATAAATCTAGCGATTGGAGAGTTCTGTCCTATGTTGGTTGGGTAGTGGTCGACATCAAATAGAGCCCTCTTGCGTTCTGCCTTGCTATTCGTAGGTTAATCTTTGGTAAGAGGTAAGGAGCGTTAATTTGATCGTTTAAAATTTTGTTCAGCATTAACATGTCTGTTTGCGTTCTTTTGTTTTGTAGAGTTAGAATTTTAAATTTTTATTTAATGTAGTTTTTCAACGTCAGTGTTAGATTTATATGCAAGATATCT